TATCAGGGAGTATTTTGTGCATGATCGCCGATTGTGTGTCCTTCACATTCACCCAAAAGAGCAAGAAGCATAGCTTCTACCCATTTTACTGCTTATCTTGTGTGCCTAGAGTACTTCTTCTAGCTTATTGCTCCCAAAAACTTGCCCTAATAATCGTTCCTGCCTGGTCTGTAAGAAAATTTGTCCAATAAGCACTACCTTAATATCCACCATGCAAGACGTGGTGTGCAAGCTTGCTCCAATTCGTGACAAGGTATACCAGCACAGAAGAGTGTATTATGAATGGAGAGGAGAAATGCAAGGAAGGGTGAATATTTGGTGTAATCCTATTACATAAGCAACACGAATGGATGGGTTGAATACCAGCAGTCTGGCAGCGATGACAACATTCGCGCAAGTCCCAGTTTCTGGAACTGCTGCGTGTATGATTGCCATTCTGCAGCAAGCAGAATGAGGCGGTGATTATGCAGACTAAGACTTGTGACTCATCTCGCAGATTCTTCCTCGTTCATGGCACATTCTCTGGTTCCCATCCATCCTCGTTTCACAATCCATGGAGTATCTCTGTGTCAAGTGCATTGTCTTCTACGTTCAACTGGTAGAGTAACATGCCTTTGTAGCTTATCAACCATTAGATTGATTATCCAAAAACAGCTACGCTAAGAGCAAGATAAATGGTGGCAAAGATATCCAAATCACTGAAATTCGAGAGGGAGCTTCTGTGCCAGTTCGTACAATTTGCGAGTGCGCTTTGCATGGATTGAATCCTAGCTTCGTTAGTGTAGGATTAACGCACAAGCCAACATATTCCTGCATAGCATAGTGAACCTGCTATCATTTCCACTTCTACACACCCGGTCTTCATGAGCATAGCTGATAGACCACAAAGACCTGCGGTACTGCGTCAGACGCATAAGATAGACAATAGGTCACAGTAGAGAGGTGGTTTATTCAAAACGAAGGTGTAGTTTGGCCTGTGTAAAGATGAAGAGGTGTGTGCATGCTGAAAAGGCCCTGTATACGGGTAGGTTTGTGACTGGCATTTGGCTAGCTAATGATCAGACTGCTACTACTCTGTAAAATTGCTTTTCATACCCAGTGGAACGATGCAAAGAAGTGCGTTGCTGCTACCTCTAAGGAAGTGCAGAGTATGCTTGATGAATGTGGCCAAATCTGCGAAATGGGCTAGAGGTCCTAGCGCACCGGTGTCCTCTCAGTCATCACCCTACGTCATAGCTGACATTGACAAGGTTGTTTCAGTCGCTGACACTTACTCAAAACACTGTCAAAACTGTCCAACTACCAACGTTAGGCCCTTTAAGTCCTCATTCATCTTTACGCAGGTAGAGGCATGCTACCAAGTTTATAGAGCTGGGTCATTAGGTATCAACCTTCCCGGATCTACTTCGAGCGTTTATGATAGAAATAATGCTGATAGTAAATTCGCATTCACATAAACCTTACCTGCCAGATTATACGATGAAGTAAAGGTACGAATTAAGAAAGACAAGCAGTCGATAACTTCGTTGGCAGTGTCGCGGTCATTCACTGGGCTTGTTAGTGTGTGAATGAAATGTCTATTTGCAGTCTTTGTTGGATAAATCAGGAAGACTCTCATCCAATCGTCATTTGTTGACAAAAACCTCCCTAGGGAGGAAAAAGTTGGTAGCCTTTCCGGCACTACTCAATCAAATGGAGGCCCCATCAACGTGGATAACACCGGCGGCTTAACTTAATCCCTCTTGTCAATCTCCCTTCGTGTTCCAGCTCTTCTAATCTTTTCAAATCACCTTTGTTGAGATTTAGTTGTTCTAATCCTTTACAGTCTACTTTCTTGAACTCACATCTCATCCCTAGCCGTATAACAAGACGCAGTAGTCAGAGTGAAGATATGAAATGAGTAAGGAATAATTTAATGCTATTCCAGCTAATTTTCGGCTAATCTGAGACTTGCCTAGTTCTTAAAAATGGCACAAAGGTTGTGTTGAAGTTCACGCCGAAGGGTAGTTCGAGCTGACATCTTGCCATACCTTTAGACTATTTTGAAAATCGGGGCCTTCTTCATTAGCAGAGAAACTCCGCAGCTAATTAATAAGTTAAGGAGCTTAAAATATGCATCAAATCAAAACTAGTTGGAGGAAAAATACTGTAGCGGACTCAGAGGTATATGCAGAAATAGTCAAGGGTGTGGTAACTGGTTACCTGGACACCTCTCGAATGGACGGAATGGATAAGTACCTAATTGAGAAAAGCAGCATCAAGAGTTATTTTTGACTATCTGTCTAGTTGAAATTAGACACCTCAATGCGACGACGCAAATCGAGTGTTGCCAGTTATTTAGTGGGAAATGAGGCTTTTTGAGAGTCCACGCTCACTCACAGTGCTTAAATCCCAGATTTCCACTTGGATGTCTGAAATACTTTTTCTGATGGTTAGACCATCGCGAGATGGCCCACTTCACCTCTTCATCAGTTCCATGTGCAAAGATGCCCTGTCACCCAACGATGGCATGTGTTAGTGCTCATAAATGAATGTGCTGTGTTCAGCTTTCTTCATGTTATGTGGGAATAATGCAACTTCTGAGGTAGCCGCGTCAATGCTCCCATATCGGTTACACATTAGTTACACTCTGAATATGATAGAAGTTTGTGCAACATCTATTGAAACAAAGGTTGTCTAAAGTGTAGTGCATTTCGTCTTTCATCTTATGGCAGTGACTAAATGGAGCAGAAATAACGGTCACATTATTACTTGCTGTCTAAGAACATTTAAAGTACTAGGATAGCCATGGGCCTCCACGAAGGAACGAGGCAAGCTCTCTTAGGAAGGCTGCACCGCCGCTGTCTTTTACATAACAGCTAACCGTTGGGAAAAGAGGAAGAGTTCATCGTTGCAGCAAAGGCGGAAAGCGAATTACTTTCCACCCCTTTAAATCTTCACTTACTGTCCTCCATTTACTTCAAACGTCCCTTTCACAGCTTAAGGCATAAATGTACTGACTTCTGTTACAAGATCGTAGCCTAAGTGACCCAAGTCTCACCCACCACCACCGAGTAGCCGTTGGCCATTCAGTAAATGATGGGTGTCTAGGACAAGCCGCAATCCTCAATTCTCGAATCCAGAGGAGAGGTGTAGCTGAAGCTTTGCAAAAATCAGATTTAATCCACCACTATTTTTTGAAGGAAAGTTGGGGCGTAACTAGCAGTGATCATTGGTAACCCTTTGAGGGACATAGCTTCCAAAAACCCACCAAAGCCTAACTCACTTTTCTTATTGTCAGCAAATTTGGGTAGCAAAGCGGTGCGATGGGTGCAAAGGGAGGTAGCGAAGAAAGGGAGCAAGTACTGTAGGAGAATCTATTATAGACAGGAATAAGGTTTTGCAATTATCAACTTGGATGGATACAGAATAGATGAACAAATGGACGAATGGGTGGACGCGGAATGGATGGAAGGATGAGTGGATGGATGGGTATGGGATGGGTACGAAATGGATGACCTCAAGGATGCGAGTATCAAGCAAATCTATCCACCAAGCCTGTCTTCAGCTTGTTTGTAGCTATTTTATCACTTTGATCTTAGCCCTGGTGTTTGGATGCCGATATTGAGGTCTCCCACTCTAATGGACTCCAGTACTGGGTTTGTCGACAGAATTGCAGTCTAGGTGGTGTAGGATCATTAACTACACGTGCATTTTTCCTGATACCGCCAGCTGCCGTCAATGTTTAGATTTGCCACGGAATTTGCTTCAAATGTTCAATGAATTCCTTGTTTACAAGTAAATCGCAGATTTGCGCATTAATCAAGCAAACTGGATTCTTTTGAGAGACAGCGTTCAATTTTAATCTAATTCCACTTGCCACGGTCTCCTATTAAAATGTCTCATTTGTTAATTCAAGAATCAAGCTGATACCAGATAAAAAGATGAGCAAATGCAGCTACCGAAATACTGATCTTTGAAGCTGTGAGGAGTTCTTTGGGTAGAATCCCACCTGAATGCATTCAGACATATAAATGTTTCCCTATCTCGGCTTCATTCGCGTGGGGATGAGTGTCATCGTGGTACTGATAGCCAAAGTCGAAAGCCGCATTTATTGCGGTACTTAAAGTTACGCTGTGAGGGTTACTGACAAGCGTACCCACGATACGGTGAACCGGTAGAAACCTACTGCTACAAATTCTATGACTGTTGCACAAAAAACATGTTTTATCTCCGTTCAGTTTAAATTTAGGGGTCATAGAACAGCCTAAAAGGCTCCAGTAAAATGTTCTTTGCTTCTTTAACCCTTTACCTATTAGCATGTTTATGAGGCAGAGACAAAATCTACCAAAATACTAGATTCACATCATACAACTGTTTATCACCCTAACTGCAAATTCTGCACACATGCGCTGCCAAAAATGAAATTGCATTTACAAGCAGATTTGATTGGTCAATTTCTTGTTAATTTTGGCCTAATTTGTGTTCCAATTCGGCTATTGGGACGCGCAATTAGAGCGTTCAGAGGTATCCTACAGCAAGCCTAAAGTGAAAGAACCCATGAAGCGGTCCAAAATAATTTTTGTTTTGCACATTTCTGCCATGACACGGCAAGATGGGTGAGGAGACTGTTGTCTGAATCCTAGCCTTCGGCAAAATTGGCATATTCTTCCTCGTTAATGGCATGTCCTTCCAAATTCCTTTGAGGCAACACTAACATACCTATTCATCTTGTCTGATTGGAAGTGAAGGCCAATCTCACAGGAAAACAGCAGTCTCGACAGCAGCTGACCAATAGATACCGGCATGCATGTCTGTATTCCAGGACCGTTCACCATGGATGCACTCTTCCGTCTTCTCACAAGTTAATAGGCACTTCTATGGCTTGCCCTCACTCCTGTCCATCCAATGCAACTCACAGGTCCTTGTAAGCTATCCACTGCGTACTCAGTGGCAATAAACGGACTGACCAAATTGGTAGCAACGTTCCAACACCACGGGACTTTATCTGCAGCAATACACGCGAGTACGGGATCTTGTGTGTCAATCACACTGCGGCAGAGGTAAGATTGAATGCTCGCGGATTGAAGCATGGTGGTCTGCTTCGAAGACCCAGTGATTTGGCCGTCTTTGATATCATCAAAAATAAAATGGCAGGATAGCTTGTAAGAGATGACCGCTTTAAAGTTTCCAATCTCGTAGTTGATAGGTTGCGAAGAACTGTGATATTGTACTGGAAGTATAGGACAGAAGACAAGCCACTCGAGGTGCATGTGCCGCGTGGTATGTGCGACGACGTAGAAGGCGATGGGAGCAAGTAGTGGCAGAGGGAGTTTTTTTACCGAAACGTTAGTGCTCGGCTTTTCGTCAAGTGTTGATCAGGATCGCTCAGATTTCTGTTTCCGCTGCTGCTGGTGCTTACGACCTCCACTTCGATGTCTTGAAAGATGGTCTTGGAAAAGTCGAATGTGTGTTTATGCCACTGCATGGTGCAAAAACACACATTCATACACCAGCCGTGAGGGTGTCATAGGCATCATAGCCTCGCACACCATTTCCATGCTGTTTGTTTCATTAATGGCGTACAAGTGAAGAAGAACAACAAAGTTCGGCTTTTCAAAGCTGATCGTAAACCATCTGCTGATGTTTGTGTTTAAATAGGACCACTCCGCTCAGCTTTCTCTATCTTCTATGCAGACGTCCACCGCCTCAAATTCGCAGATCCACCACAGGCATTGAAGATGGTGGGGGTCGATTCAGACATCCGCCTCTTCAACGTTACTTGCCATTACTTTTGCTCTATTATAAATGTGACTTATCACTGTGCTCTTCCTTACCGCTTCTACACACTCTATTGTAATAAAATGTATTAGAACAGTTTGTAAGGCTGCAATGGCCATCACGCTTTACGTGGTAAAAGAATTTTGGATTTTTAAACGATGGTAAGCATCGGTTGTAAGCGGGAGCGGCAATCTGAGGCATCCAGGTCAACACTCCACGTACGTATGTGAAAACCTCTCAGTGGCTTGTCTTTGGTTATGTCAGGTAGATACGGAATACAGTAGCACGACGTACAGCTCAGAATTGGACCGATAAGCGTGACTGTAGTGGCAGAATGTCAGATGATAATGCACTACTTGAAGAAGGATTTTAACGCAGAATTTGCCTGTCATTTGCACCTAAGGGATGTTTAGTGTTTGTGATGAGACGCTATGCTCAATCCTACAACAGGGAAAGCAAAGTGTTCCTGCTCAAATACAATGCATCAGCAAATGGCAAACGACAGATTTCTGGGATAAGCGCTTTCTTGTGCTTTGCCGCTTTCAAGCACGTCATGGAAATAAACTGGATGGAGACGGTTTGCAAGCCTATGATGCATATATACACTCACATCTGCTGCTCTGACGCTCGCTTTTAAGTCAGAAGTGACGAACGCACTGTCGTGTTTTCCGCGGAGGTCAACCCCTACCGCAGACAGGAGCAACTGTCTGGGCGAATGTAATCAGCAACACATAGGTAGTTAACCGCCATCTATTCTGTATAATAAGCTCCGATCAACATCCGCCTACACCCCTACCACATTGTGGAAATGAAGTAAATTGCATAGCGGTTTCGAGCTCCACCTCTATTGTTTAACCGTGAATTCCTAATGGCTTTACCTGGCCCTTTGCTGCAATTTTCAGACCTCAAATATGGCCAATTTTCATTAAACATTTTTAAAGCTGTCTCCACTCACCTTTTAAATAGGCATATATGTGGCTTATTGTAAGGCCTCCAGCCACGTGAATGATTTTTTCTTTATGGAAATCGAGCGGTCAAAAAAGGCACATAAAAGTAAATTGAGTCAGTCAGGCTGAAAAATCTTTACTGCCTCTAGATCGCAATCCTGGATTTAGAAGTGTAGAGGAAGGCGGAAAGTAAAGTTTTTTAGGTGTTGAAAACACTTCACAATTATCTGTAGTTGTACTGGTAAACACACCTCTCTTTTGTAGCCTTTAGCTAGTCCCTATAAAATAGCGTCAATCGAACCATTCTCACTCTCATGGCGGCGTAAGACTGTACCAAGTCCCTGTGTAATCTAGCATTCCTATGCTTCTAATGCTCGAGTTCGATTTGATTGTTTTATCGTCTTTATAAATAAGGTAGGGTGGTGACTAGAGAGCTGTTTTGTGTAAAGTTTGCCCTTTGTCTCCAATTTGATAAGGAGACGCATCTCAATTATACCTCTAGGGAATTGGCGGGAATGGTAGGTGAATGAGGCAAAATCTGCAAAATAAAATGAAGTTCTGATTGTACGCAACCTTCAAATCACCCATCTGCCAATCTCATTGCCACTAGTGCCAAATTTGTTCCAGCCACTGAATTGCAGCCACAACACACACAAGTGTGTTTGATTAATAATCGTCGGCCTATCAAAACCTTC